TTTTCCCTTTGAACTAAATCAGGTCTTCAATGAACAGGCATGTCATTTTTTCCCGACTAAGTTACCATGGCTACTATCGTCGTAAAGAATTAATCCATCTTCATGGTACCGGTCTCAGGTATCTGTCATCCCACATTTTGACTGGAGTTGCTAACATATTGAGCTCCCACACTGTAAAGGGTTTAAGCCCTGTCTTATTTTTAAACTTTAACTGGATGAGTCATGCTTTAGAAAAAGGGTGTGGAGTACAGCTCTGTTCAAAGCTCCACAAGGAGCTGCATTAATGAAAGTTAGTTGGTTGTTAGGCAGCTACAGAGATTACTGAGTCTTTTAAACTCTCAGGGCGAATTGTTAAACCCTTTTTAGGACAAGAAAAAGCAGGGATTATTTTATCTAAAAAAATATTTAAAAAAATCTTGTTTCATCTCTACCCTGTGATATTTTTTCTTACGTTAAGGAATTCATTTTTCCCATTGAGCTGTACACATTAGGATCAGATAATGTTAGAATATGTCCTAATTTTAACTCATCTCAGTTATTCTACGTTTTGTGTTCATGTCTCTCTAATTTACGTTGCAAGTTCTGTACTCTGTCACGTTCTGTTTATACACATGTTGTACTGCTGCTGTCCACTGGGGGGCAATGAGAGCGAGTTCTTGTGTGTGTGAGCACCACTGTGGAAACAGAAGAAGTTTTTGGAAAACTGCAAAGTAGCAATAAAAATGAACAATGCTATCTAACAAAAGAAGTTCAGTTCATTGGAAATATGAGTAGGCCTAATGAACAGGAAAACTCAATAAATAAGACCAGCTATTCAGTCGTTAAGCAAAGATAATTGAAAAATAATTTTCAAACTAAATTTCAGGGTGCTACTTTGGGAAGGTGCTACAGTTTGTTATGACAGAGATTTATATAGAAATGTTTGAGGGAGTAACTTTAAATTTTCAAGATTTTCTACTGAAAAAAGTGAGCAGATAAGATTTAAGAAATTTTGTCTATAAAAGTTGTTTTGCACAATTATTAATTTCTAGGTTTTCAAGATAAAATATTGTTAACTTTAAGTAGTTTAAGATTAATAGTAACAGAAAAAGTTTCTTTTCTGGCTGCAGTCTCTGGTCCTAAAGGATGTCCCGTTCTTGTCCAGAACGCCACACCTGTTAACTGGGCATCTACCAGGGTTCTGGGCGTCCAGCATAGATTCTCCACCCACCCAGAACCACTCATCACCTAGGTAACGTAGTCCTGTCCAAATCTATTAAGGTAAAGCAGAGAGATTCACATTAAAACACAAAATCAACTAGTCAAAAACAGAAGTGCATCGGAGAAAAACAGCCCACCTCATCAGTAGTAGCATTTTGGGCTAGCTCTTGCGCATAGCTGAGGTCATATTGAGTGAGCAGGGTGGCCAGGTTAAATCTGTTTACACTATCAAGAGCTCTGCAGTGTTCTAATGCCTCCTCCCATGTCTTATTCTCCTTCACCAGAACAAGATACTCATCATAACATATGACATTATATTTCTTGTCGCACTCCCAATCTCTCCATTTCCCCTCATCCTGCGTTCCATACTTTGTTTTATAGCCACAGAATTGAACGCCATTATCTGGATCTAGAGGACATGAGAAAAAAAATTTAATCACTATAAACTTCTGAACTTATGGAAAAATAATGTCATCAGTGATGTATGAATAATTGTTGTAAACATTCATATAGCTAAAATCGTTGGATACATCTGTACTATTCTGAGATTTAATGCATTTTAATTATATATCCCACTTTGGAATAGTATCTCATTTAGGCTTAATGGTTCAGCGAAAATGATATCCTTAAAATGTTTGTGTCAGAACCCTTGTTCAGCCAGACATGACAGTTTGAGAGATTCTAGATCAGGGGTGGGCAAACTTTTTGACTTGCGGGCCAGAATGGGTTCTAAAATTTGACAGAAGGGCCGGGCCAGGAGCATTTGGACAAGCAATGTCATTAATTAAACCTTGGGATTGAAATGTATAAAAAAAAACAGACAATTTTCACGACCATAAGGCGCACCGTACTAAAAGGCGCAGTCTCAGTTATGTGTCCCATTTCTGTATTTAACACACACATAAGGCGCACCGGACTATAGGGTTTTCAGGTACATGTCCTCTACTACATTTAAATACCTCTACTGCATATTTAAAAATAGAGCGGGAGCAAAACTGAGTATGATTGTGCTTTATTCATTTATTTATTACAAAGTATTGATCAAACCTACGTGCTGGCCTTGAGACAGACACATCGCTGATGACACAGCGCTGTGATCACTCCTAAATTAATTTAAAATTTTGAAACCTGCCGACAGAATATGTTCGCTTTTATTACCGGTATCCTGGTGCCTGCAGTTTAAATTATTTAGATGAAAAACACCTGCCAGCCGCCGCGGTGAACCCGGATGCTGCCCAGCCTAGAGGCTGCTGTTGAAGGGATTCCTACTGTCGGTGTACCGCTGGTACGTGGGGGTCTGAGCGCCTCTGACAGACATAGTATAGGCATGATGATAATCTGGATGAACTGACTGCAATTATTAAGTTTTCAGGTGGACTTTCTCACTTAAAAACATATTAAAACTACTTTATTCCCACTGATCACATCAAATATAGCTGCAAGATTTAGATTATTTAGATGAAAAAACACCTGGCAGCCACCGCGGTGAAGAGGCTGCTGTTGAATTAAGTTTTCAGGTAGAAAAATAGAGCGGGAGCAAAACTGAGTAGGATTGTGCTTTATTCAAGTATTTATTACAAAGTATTAATCAACCCCATCAAAGTCATCATCCCCTGTTTCTGAATTAAACAGCTGTGCTAAATCAGACATGCCAATTTCCCCTTCTTCGCTGTCAGAGTCAGTTTCCGTGCCGGGCGGCTCCTCAGAAATAATGCCAGCTTTTGCGAAAGCTTGAACAACCGTGCCAGCAGACACGTTAGTCCAAGCATCTACAATCCATCCGCAAACTGTGGGGTAACTTGCGCGGCGCTGCCTTCCACTTTTCGTGAAACTGTGGTCTCCGTCGGTCATCCATCGCTCCCACGCCGCTTGCAGCCTTACTTTGAACGGCCGGTGTATACCGATATCGAGCGGTTGAAGTTTCTTTGTCAGACCGCCCGGGATAACGGCAAGCACAGGGTTCATTCAGGCACAGATTAACAGCGTTGGTGATGCGTGGAAAAAACCACTTGGTCTCCTCACATACACCTGCCTCAGCCACGCTTTCATCATCTCCTCATCCATCCAGCCTTTTTCATTTGCCGTAATATCATTTGTCATCAGAGCGCTGTGTCTGTCTCGCTGTCAGCTCCCAGATCAGCTTCTCTGATTGGTTGATGCGGCGCTTCCAGCAGCAAAACTTCAATTTTTCCGTCTCGAGCAGCAGCAGCGCGTTTCCGGCGCGTCAGATAAACGCTCCCGACGTGCAGCGCCTGCTGCTCAAAACGCGCTGCGGGACCTTTTGCTGCGCCTATACGCGCGTCAACCATTGACTTTGCATGTAAACTCGCTGCTTCTGCTGCGCCTGCTGCGTCCGGTTCACACCGATGTCAAGCGGTTGAATAACAGCGAGCACAGCGTTCATTTGTTTCACCATGTTTTTCACATCAGCTGTGAGATGGGCACGCATGGAGACACAGATTACCAGAGATGGTGATGAGTGGAAAAAAACACCTTGTCTCCTTACATTCACCTCCCTCAGCCACGCTTTCATCATCTCCTCAATGAGGAGATGAGGAGTTCTGCATGGTGCATGGTGGTCTCAAAAGTCGCAGTTACAACACACATAGGGCGCACCGCAGATTTTGAGGAAAAAAAAAAAAAAGACGTTTATGTGCGCCTTACAGTCGTGAAAATAGGGCAATTTGGACAAGTTCGGCGGGCCGGATTAAAAAGCCTAACGGGCCGTATACGGCCCGGGGGCCGTAGTTTGCCTATGTCTGTTCTAGATTATTTGGTTAATGAGACTGGTTACTTTTCTAACACATAGTTAAATAATAGAACTAACTAGTTGCACAATACATATGATCTCAGTGTTTCCCACAGGATTTTAGGAGAGTTTGTGCTTTCAAGTTGTTGCCCATAGGAAGACGTTACTTGTATATAACCTAATGGAATATCTCTTCAGAACAGCTCCAAATGACACAAAACTAATATGGGTGAGTAGAACATGATGTAATAACGTCAAATCAATGGGCCAATGTAAAAATAAAAAGGTGTTCCCCTTTAAGTGCATTTTTGAGGTCACTTTTTTTTACTTTTTCTTTTTTCCCTTGTGGTCCACTAAGGAGCCTTCAAATCATTTTCTTAGAGAGGAAAACACAATGGACAAGTTGATTAAGTGACTCTTGCTGTGTGAATCAAATGCCGCTATTTAAGATAAAACATTTCAAATGTAGTTATTTATTTTAGACCAAATAACATTTTACATTTACATCCCGCTCGCTCGGTAAAAATGCTGTGGCTCTGACTGCAGCGCTTCCTGTGGAAGGAGAAGAACGGGGTTGGGACGGAGGGGGCGCCCCACGGCAGCACCTGCCGCTGGAGGACAAGAGTAGGAATGACACGTGCTTTCACATAAGAGTCTCCAAAAGCCGCCAGTGACACCAGAAAAGTTGCTAGATTTTGTCGTGAGTTGCTTGAGGGGTCTGAAAAGTTGCTAAATATAGTGACAGGGTCGCTGAGTTGACAACACTGCACGGGCAAACCCGGCAGCCGGGGCGGCATTTTTATAAAGGAGGGCGGGACGCGCACATTTAAAAAAATATAACATAAACAATTACTGTGGGGTATATTTTTTGAACACGCTTGGTCAAATCTTCAGGATACAAATATATAAACTGTATAAAAATGTCCGTGACTTAGGAACAAATATTTATTGGACAGAATATATACTCAAAAGTTTGATTTTAACAGCCCTACTTTTGGAAAATAAATATCATTAATTTCAGATACACCCTCCCAAGCTAATTTGTACTTACCATCAACTACCCAATCGAAGAAAGTTGCATTCCTATCACCTCTGGACCATTTCCAACCATTTTTTTGGTTCTTGTGATATAATCCGATCCAACCATCAAAAGAACGTATTGCAGAATTTTCCTGTTTACTTCTGATAGTTGCCAGGTCAGTGTGGTGGTTCCTGCAGAAAGTCTGGGCTTCTTTCCAAGTCATATTACTTGATACATTTTAAACCTCTCATTTAAAATGCCAGACTGCTGCCCATATACGGGGGCAAGGATGAGCAGCATCGTGAGAAAGATGAAACCTGACATGTTTTAACAAAAGGACTTCAATATTCCTGTAGCAACATAAAATAAAGCAAATCATTCATTATACTTATAAATAAGCAGGGACACCTTAGATTGTGAAACTAATTTAAAATGTTCGTTGGTAGTTTCACAATACAAAGAGAGATCACCTTTATAAAGAAACACAACAAAGAGGTAAGGAATAAAACTTTTGATACATTTAAAGCAGGGTTATGTGCATTCATACAGCTGCCTATGACCTATTAGGACATTTTTTAACCTTAACTGGCAGAATAGGAAAGCTTGCTTCTGGGTACTTAGAGATTCACTTCCACACAGAAAGCCCATATTCGTATCTTCAGTTAACACAGAATACATGTCAGATTAAATAATACTACTTATATTTCAGCGATAGTATCTAGGTGTTACTTTATTGTTTATCTTGTACCATGTCCGTTGGTTGTGCTGTTCCTTTTACATCTCCTTGCAGGTGATGAAGCAGACTGAAAATCTTTTATAATGATCTCCCTTTTACCTCCTCTCCCCTTCATCTTTTCTCCTTTTTTTCTGTTTTTCCTTTCCTGTTCTACTTACATTGCAGTGTCCATATAATCTGTAAAGCTCCCTACATAATTATAATAAAGCAATTTATATGCATAAATCAAGCAGAAGACTATGGCGATAGCCCTACTGCTCCACTTGTGAAAGTAAAATCTGTTGGGCTATTTATGGCATCAATACAATTATTCTTATTGCCTCATCGCCAGACATGAAACTGTAAAAAAAATAAAAAATAAAATAAAATAAAAAAGAATAGGAAAGTATCTCTCAGAGAGGTGATTGTGTTAGTATGGAGGTTGTAAATTGTTTAGCTGCAACATGAGAGCACCTTGCTGTTGCTGAGTCTATTACAAACTCTTCTCAGTACAAAGTTTTTATCTTAAATCTAGGAATGTCTGGTGGTTAATGCTTGTCCACAGAACATCACAAAAACTATAACAAAATGAATAAAACAAAGGAATATCCCAATAGAAATCTGCAATGGTTTGGTGGGAACTTAAGGTATACCCCGACACTTTCTCCTCAATAACCAAGTTAACCAAATTGTGACGCTGACAAATGCAGCACAGGAAAGCCCTAATATAGCTTAGAGCTATTGCTACAGTTTCTGAGGAAGAACACCAAAATGATAAAAAAAAAAAAAAAACGTTTTTGAATATGAATAATGGAATGAACATCGCTAATTTCTCTACACATTTAACAAGACTGCATAACTCAAACAAGGTTCTTTCATTTTAAATCAAATATGAGATGGTAGGTAAAATTTTATAATTTTATTTAATCTTAATCTAAATGCATCTTTACTCACCTTGGTAAGCAGAAGAGTTCAGTTTTGGGTTCTCTGGTTAAGATCATGCTTTTTATCTGCAAGGTCACTGAGTAAAGCAAACCACCAACCAATCAGATCACAGTATTTACGAAGTATTCGTACTTCGTTACTTGACACCTCTTCTGGAAATGCAGAGTACACCAGACACCCTGTCAGTCTGCTGAGTTCTGTGTACCATTTTATGAACAGTGATACTACGAGAAACAAAATACGTAATCAATGGGTATTTCCTTATTGCTAAAAATCACTATTATAACTTACAATAAAATAACAATTACAGTGACCTATTATTAACATTAAACAAACAAAATGAACGTAACATAAGCCACCAGCAGGCAGCTGACCTGGGTTTCCCTGATTGACTTATTTCCTGCTTGATCCAATAAGTAAAAAACAAATAATCATCTCATACTATGTTAGAACATTTATTGTTCTTGCTCTCTTGATGATTACATTAAATATTTTCATGCATCCTGTCTGCCGAACTTAGGCTGAGACTTGAACATGCAAACAGGGCCGTAACCCGGATTTTTAAAATATAATTATATTTTGGAAATGTAAATAAAGAGAGTTAAATCACAAGCCCATCAAGAAGGTGAATAGGAACATGTTTATAATAATTCCAAGACTAGTATTTGAGTGAGTGAGTGAGTGAGTGAGTGGTGAGTGAGTGAGAGAGTAAGCGAGCTGTTTGATTATATAATTTTGTCCCATGTGCATCATAGCTTTGAAATAGCCCAAGCAGAAATGTTTATTCTTCATAATGCACCAAGACATAACCTCAAGAACAATGTTTTTAGTTGATTATATTATTTTGCGCCGTTTTGAAATACCCAAAGCAGAAATCTGTATCTTCATAATGCACCATGAGCAACACAAGTAGGTTACCTCAAGAAAAAAGTAATACTATTTTATGTATTATTTTGCCCCATATGCATCAATAGTTTTAAGTAGGCTCCGACTATAAAACGAAATCCTAGTGACAGTTGCTTGAAATGCTTGCTGAGGACGATGACCATCCTATTCCTAGCCATGCTTTGAATGCAAGGGTGTAACTTTGTGATAAAATTTGGTGGGGACACTCAAAGGATAGTGGCTGATGGACCTACAGCTACTCAACCTGAACGCTTTGAATAGGGTTAATATTTTCCAAAAATGAGCTCAAACTTATATTTATTGAATTCTTTACTGTTGTTTATAACACAAGAGTACCACAGTACACTAATATTTATAGTTATAGACCGATGCCTGCCTTTAGTTCAGTATTTATAAAGGGCTTAAAAACATTAATGTATAAAATATGATGAATAACAGTCGATACCAATGCCAACAGCAATATATCATGCATCCCTAGCATGGACATAACTTCAATTCCATCCATCCATCCATGCATGGCTTCTCTTAAGTTTCATCAGTGATTATCCTCCTTCACAAGCAGCAAAATCAAATTTAGAAATTTGTCCCACATATTGCTGAGAGCCAAAGTCTATGTATTGAACCTTATATTTCAAAAACAATTTATACATTGATATTTGTGCTTTAATTCTTGCAGATTTTTTATATTTTAATTTTAAGTCTGTGTCCTGTGAGTCTGGTTGTCTCTGGGTTGACTGCCACTGTCATGGTCAGTTACGAATCTGACCCACATGCAGTGATTACCACTCAGAGAACAAGGAAAAGGTTTAACAGATTTATTAAAGGAGTAAAGGAGTAGGATGTGGGACTCATATGCACACGTGGGAGGGCGGACAGGTAGACTAGCGTTGGACCCGAAGGAGTAACGGAGCGGACTGTCACTCTGATTTTCCGATGGGAACTTGAATGGAACATGTGGAGGTTTTCCCCTGCTCAGTGTAACTCGGTTTATCCTTCCAAGGGAGAGAAGGTCCAGGTATCCAGTAACACAGGAAAGCTTCCTGCCGAGGAGCAAAGACAAAAACAAGTTAGACTCAGAGAAAATAAAGCTAGATTAGACTCAGCTGAACTCAGCTTGGCTAGAGTACCCAAAACTGGCAAACGCTCTGGCATCGAGTTAGTGACAGTCCCCTGCTCGAATACTCCTCCAGATAATGATCCAACGAGCCGCAGGTGTGCAGGGAGGGACAGCGAAGACAGGGCACCTCCTGGTGGTGGAAAACAGAGACACACAAAACGGACCACACAAACTGCATTCCTAACAGCCACAACAATTTCTGAGGCTTGTTGAACTTCAAAAGACAAAAAGATATGTTGAATTTTATTATAGAATTGCATATTTTTCTAGTAAACTTAGAGATATATTTCTTTGCATGTTGCATATCCCAGTAAATCTATTTCACCTGTGAATCTGCAGCTGTCCCTAATTTTTTTCTCTACTCTGCTTAAAAACAGATTTATGAACCCGTCTACCAATATAATGATGCCAGAGAAAATCCTTTTCAGGATGTCTAGAGGCTATCCAGTCTGATTGTATATTCAATGAGAAAACAACAGATATGTGTAAATTTTAATCTGTAACTGTAATGTAATGTTCCTCTGAGGAGCCCAGCTTTTTAAACTTATATAAATGTAAACTCTGTTGCCATTTTTAACTGAAAAAGCTCTGAATGTCTAACCAAACAGATGTTTTTCGTGGCAACCAACCCGTCGCCTAACTTTTACTGAAACATATATCGAAGTAGCTGCTGGTTAAAATTCAGTGCTGCTGTGTCTCTCCTCCTCCTCGTAGCTACTCAGTACACAGTGAATAGAAACCCAAAAAAATATTATGTCCCAAACCGACAGATCTGATGATATTTTACCAAGAGGTGGGACTCGAGTGCTACGAAAGAGCGAGGAATAAAACACTGACTGAAAACGCTCTAAACACAGACAGCAGCACCCAACCCCAGTTACTGTTGGCTAAAGAAATCAGTAGAAAGGGGGAAAAAAGCGGAAATTATTGGTGGGGACTGTACATGTGTAACCCAGGAAAACATAGCCCTCACTAAACATAAACCTTTTCATAAAAATAGCTATAAAATGCTCAAATACTAAATAAAAAAATAAATAAATAAATAAATAAATAAATAGGAAATAAATAGGTCTCAAAATAGTTAAAAATATTAATAATAATAATTACAGATATTATAAATGGTGTATTTCATTTTATATTTTATTTTGTTTGAAACTGTATAAAAGAGATTTATTTTGCCAGCAGCTAAATGGTAAAATCTGAGAAAAATGTCTTACTCTGAAGGGTCACATTAATTTGTAGCCCATGTGACAAGCTCGAGCCAATTGGGTCGCTATGTTCTCTGGTACTAGCAGAGAAAGCCAGGAAGAAGAATAGAGAGAAGAAGAAGCTAATGGAGTTGTGCTGGTAAAGAGAGACAATAAGAGAAAATTGACCATTGAAAAGACTACCTGCTGTCTGGAATATTTTTCACGTTTTTAGAGGAGGAGCTTTCCACATATATTTTTTTCCTGACCGCATTCGGGAGTGTTTCATGTTACAGAACTGAAGTTGCTGAGTTAAAAAGTGTATTTTATTTTCTGTGAAGGATTTTATTAATTTATGTTTTTAATGTTAGAAAAGAAAAAAAAAAACTTGGAATTAACATATGGACTGGTGTGGGTGAAGCATTTTTCCCACACATACACAATGTTCAGCAGCCAAATCGACGTAA